ACCGTCTACCTCAAGCTCCAAGTCATTAATTGACGCACTAGTATGACTTTCAGAGATACCGAAGATATGAACATCTTTTTTGCACAGAAACAATCTAATCTGATCTAATTTGTTCATAATCCCGTTAACATTTTGGTGAAACAATTTTAGTCCACGTTTCTTCATAAATGTGCAAAGGACATTGCTATCTACAGTTTGTGGCGAACCAGCATCTTGATCTGCGATATTAACAAAGCAGATATTACAGTAGAATTTCTCCTTGTTATTTCGCAGTTCGTCTTTCAAACATTTAAGATGAAAAGCATTCTTACATTCGGCACAAGTACCTGAGATTTGATTTCTTCGGATTGTCTTCCAGCACGCTTGGCATTGAGGTTTCATCGGTCCAGGGCATAACTCTACATCTCCAGCTAACAGCAATAAAATACGAAGCAAGGACGCTCTTGTGACAACGAGACATCTTTCTTGCTTATACTGCCACAATGATGGATAGATATACGTTCCTTCAAACGAATTAGAATCTTTCGAGGCTTCCCAGTAACAACATGAGCTACTGTTTGTAAAGCAAGGTTTTTTAATCATAAGAATTATTACAACAAGCAGAACGCTCTTCAGAGCGACCGCCATAACTGAACACGTGTGATTGAGATCAATTGAGACCTGGGCTTGGAGCAGTTTGTGAACAAGATGGTCACCCTGTAGTGTATGCTTCTCAAGCTTTGTCCAATACACAGCAACAATATGCACAAATAGAAAAGGAACTTTTGGCCATTGTCTTTGCATGTGAAAAATTCCACCAGTTTATTTATGGAAAGAGCGTAACAGTTGAGACAGATCACAAGCCTTTGGTCAGTATTTTCAGTCACTGAATGACTGTCCCATGAGTTTGCAAAGAATGCTTCTTCGGTTGCAACAGTATGATTTGCAAGTCGTCTATAAGAAAGGCACTGAATTATATGTGGCTGATACCTTAAGTAGAGCATATCAAGAAATTGGTGCAGATGACTCTCTTGAAGAAAGTTTAGAAATTCACATGTTATTGCCTATTTCTGCCCCGAAGTTGAAAGAATTACAAGAGGAGATGCAAAAGATCCTGTCATGGAAAAATTACAACATGTTATTCTTAATGGCTGGCCAGAACGCAAGTTGCATTTGTCTCAATTGATTCAGAGCTATTGGGACTACAGAGAAGAGATCACAATTCATGATGAACTTATCTTCAAACACAATAAAGTAGTTATTCCAGCAGCATTACGGAACGAAATGCCGAAAGCTGTGCACCAACCTCATCTCAGAGTAGAAACGAATAAACGTCTAGCACAAGAGGTTCTATTTTGGCCAGAGATGGACAAAAAAATTGAAAAACTCGTTAAATTGTGTAGCATCTGCAACCAGAACAAGCCCCAGCAACCATCAGAACTAGGGATGAGCCGATACCAGAAAAAAGCCGATTTGCCGATCCGATATATTGGAGCCGATATAAAAAAATAATCGGCCAATATTTCTGTGTAAAAGTTGAATAAAAGTTTAAAACCCGGTACAAGCGCCGGATAACGGTTTTTTGACAACTTTTAATACTTGTGTATACGCCACACATTGACGTACTAGTTTTAGCAATTTAAAACACTCCACGTCACGTCTTTAAACAGTAAAACTGGCTAAATTTTTTCAGTGATTTTGTGTTTAAGATACAGTGATAAGGTTTTAACTTACAAGTGGTCTTATTCCCTAACAAAAGTTATAGAGTTATTCTTAAAAAACGTAAAAATTGCGAATATCGGCAAATAGCCGATTATAAAAAATAATCAGCCGATTACCAATTATTTTGAAAACGCTAAATATGAGCCGATTTATCGGCCGTACCGATTAATCAGCTCATCCCTAATCAGAACCGTTAAAACTTCATCCAACTCCATCTAGACCGCGGGAACGTATTGGGGGTAGATATCTTTATGTTTCACAGAAAAAACTATTTGATTACGGTCGATTTCTACTCAGGATGGTTCGAAATTGATCTGCTGAGTAATATGTTATCTTCAACCATCATAACCAAGTTATAGGCACAAATGGATCGATATGGAATTCCAGACATCATTGTTAGTGATAACGGTCCTCATTTTTGTTCTAAACAGTTCCAAGCATTACATGGCATTTTGAACACATAACAAGCTCACCAGGATATCCCCAAAGTAATGGTGGTGCAGAAAGAACTGTCCAAATAGCGAAATCACTGATGAAGAAAGCTGTAGAAGATGGTGTTGATCCCTACCTGTCATTATTAAACCATTGCAATACACCTCGAGATTCGGTACTGGGAAGTCCAGCACAACGTTTAATGTCAAGGCAAACAAAGAGTCTTCTTCTTATGGCTAAAAAGAGCTGTTACAGCCAAAAGTGAAAGATCCTGAAGTGGTGCAAGAAAGGCTGCAACATTACAAGAATCAGCAAAAGAAAACTTATGATTGAAGAGCCCAAGAATTGCCAATATTGAATCAAGGCGATGTCGTCAGAATACAAGGAGAAAAGGGATTTATGCAGAAAGGTGTTGTTGTAGAAAAGTCGCAGCATCCTAGATCGTATCTGGTCAAATCATCATCCAAAACGTATAGAAGAAATAGAAAGCATTTGTTGAAGTAGATGAGCCTATTGAGAAACACAATGTTGAGAAAGTGGATTATGGAGGTGAAGAAGATCAATCAAAAGAAAAATTGAACGCAAATGAACAATTACATTCAGAGACACAAGCTGTTGTTTCAAGACCGAACAATGATGGAAATAGTAGTGTGAAAACGTATAATTTGTAAACTTAATTTGTAAACTCTGCAGGTTAATCTTATAATAAAGTATTTAAGTTAATTTAAAGCTGTAAGACGAGTATCTCTAATAACTTAACAGATTGCAGAACTGAGAAAATGAACAAAAAGATACAATTATAGTTACTTGAAACTTTGTAAAGAAATGGAGATGAAGTAGGACAACCTCGTCCCCAGGGTCTTCCTCGTGGTGGCGCGCGAGCTGAGGAAGACCCTGGTAAAATACGATGAAATCTCCAAGATTCTTGGAGATTTATCGCATGCGCAGTAATGACAACGTTATGTCGCTGACTACAATTAGTGCTGGTGCTTACGGTTTTCTTGCTTAAAAATATACATGTTTTGTTGATTGTTTATGTATTTATTCTCAAAGTTTTAACAAATTTTACGAAAAATAATTCAGGTATAAGCTGTGAACACACATGTACACAAAACTATGCAACATTCATCATCCTATTGTATCAATTTGTCGGAGTATGGACAGGGGCGCACATTAGGGGGGGTTTGGGGGGTGCGAAACCCCCCCCCTAGAATCCGAATATCACTAAAAGTCGGTCCCATTCATCCTTGATACTGTGCAAAAACTCGGTCCCAAAATTCGGGTATAAGAATTAATATTTACTTCTGTCCGACTCCGTGAATTGGGACCGACAACACAAGAGCTTGTTTGTAAGATGTTATGAACAAGCCTATGTGTATGTGTTAATGTGTAAGAAACTATTTCTTGATTTTTAAACGTCAAATTGTAGCGCACCCGCTAAGGTTTAGATGGTTAATTCAGATTATTTATTATCTTGATTTTATTGTTTTGCTAGTTGTTATTATACACTTCTATTTTTCATTATTTTCAGTATTTTATATGGACGAACGAAAGTAACAATTATATTCGAAGAAATAAACTCGTCTCCCTCTCTCTGCTACTATCCGATTTCGCACCTGTGGCCTGCGAACGGATATTCTCATGCCAGCTCATACACATTACTAATAAACACGTCCTGGTATTCACACGCGAGCTCAATTAGGCCTATACACATGTTTTGATTCTTCAGTTCAGAAAAAGACTTATCTGATTCTATTGATCTGGAACAGATTGAACAAATGCAGAAATTGAGCGAACTATTCAATAAGGGATGAATTTTCTTAATCCTTCGTTCGTACACCTGAACGAGCCAACCGAAAAGGTAGAGTTAAGACTCTGAAATAGTCGTTTCCGGCGACCTAGAGGTCCTAAATGTTGAAAATTTTCTCGCTCGGTGCCAACCATGGTGGCGCCTCGTGAGACTTAACCCCATGGTTTCACATTCATTCCCACGTCCCTGTTCTGTCGCATGAGGTTTTTGCAGAATTGTTTTTACCCTTCTGTTTAATTTATTTTTGAATATCAAAAAGTCAGTCCCCAAGTGGCCCACACCCCCCTAGAAATTCCTTAGATGTGCGCCCCTGAGTATGGAGCTCATATTTGTGACATTGTTTTGTTCGCTTTGGCATATAAAACACTGATAGTGTTGCCTGGAATATGAAATGTATGTATTGATTGATTGTTCTGTATATCAAGGTATGTACTGTACATTTATACTGAATTTATTCGATTTATTTTCACACGTTGCTTTCACATTTTCTCAGAGTCTCGGAAATCACATTTTCTAACACAGTTTCCCACCTACAGAAAGACTTCATTTCACACATGCAGAAAGACTTCTTCAGAAATTTACACTTTTTAACATACAGAAAGATTTCATATTATCTCATCAGTTAATAAAATTATGATAACAGTAGAAATGCTTAGAAAGATTTTATTCTGCTTTCCATATACAGTACAACTGTTATTTCGATTTTCTCTTTCCTATATTTTCTTTACTTTATTTTCTACTGTTCTGTTACAAAACAACTAATAAACATTTTCCCCGAGCCGACGGCACGAAGCGCCGTGCGAGGGTACTAATTCCCCCCCAGCTATTTACACCTGGGGAAACGAAAGCATTAGCGAAGTCTAAAGTTCATCAATGATCGTGGGCATGGGTCACCAACAGTGTTCGAGTGTTGGGTGTGTGGTCATCCTCACTGATCTCAACAATATGGCGGACTGTCATGAATAGCGGACACTGATTGGTCCAATTTAAAGTTTGTATTATAACAACTGCATGACGACAGCGAAATAGCAAACATTTCTTGATTTGATGATTGATAAATTTCTTGCAAATATATTTAATTTTTGCTCGCATTTTTGCAAGATTTTGTAAATTGCAAAGGCATTCTCAGAAAGAAAGGGCGAAAGAATCGGCTAAAAGAAGGAAGCCTATGTTAACAAAGGTAAGTTTGTTTTAAATATTGATTTTATAATTGCTTCAAAACCCGACGGCCTTTGCGAATATGAAACAACTAAACAAAACAGCATATAATTTCAGTGCATCTTTAATATTGATTTCCTTTTTTATTATATTGAATTTTTTAAATAAAAAAAGAAAATAAATTTATTTGCATGCGAGAATTTGAAATCATTTGATTGCAAATTCAAAGTTTATTGATAAAGCCATTTAATTAAAGGCAGTTTAGTTTTATAAAGAACACTCTAAAATGTTTTGCGAAGTGTTTGTGGTTGAATTTTACATTAAATTATGTTTATTATTATGTTTATAATTATGTTTGTTATTATGTTTGATCATATACTATAACATGTTAATTTGCGCAATATAAATATTAAATATTATTATTATTATTATTAAATTGAAGCTTATATTACGTATAATAACATACCTAACATACATATGTTGGGAAATTGATAATTTTGTAATTAAAAGTGATATTTTTAGGCGATTTTTCATTTGTAAGAATATTCTTAAAAAATTATTGTGTTACCATGACAACTACTCTAGATACTTCATGTTCGGAAAATACAATGGTTTTGTCAGCAAGGCAAGGGTTTCTGCATGCATGTATTTTCTAGTATTATTTTAACAGGTGAACCATATTTTACATGAACTTGGGGAAAAGCCAACTTGAATTCCATGGAAATATATATAATCATGTCATCAATCGGATAGTAAACAATCATTTATAAGATGGCCTCAAGATTATATTTCACAGTGACCAACATGAAAAATTTTAAATGGATCAGTTGATGGCATTATAGTTTTCTAATGCTATATGATTTTGTTCATCAAGGTGAAGAAACTCAATATAGCTACCTTTCCCTGTTACAGAGCTATATGATAGTAATCTTAGAAGATTTTAATGATCCCTCTATTCAGTAGTTATTTAACCAGTCTAGTATTATGACTGTATTATGTTAAATAGCCTTGTTTCACTTTTGTATTTTGTTTCTTTAATAATACATTTACAATGGTCAAAATTACAGTTTAATATTTGTATTTCTAATGACAATTACTTCCACATATCCATCACACTTCTCTGTTACTATTAAACTTATTACTATCATGCAAGTAAAATCTCTTGGAAAAAATAAATGTTGTCCCAGGATGGTCATAAATATCAGCTAGTAAAACTAGTGAATATATCTATAATCATGTACATATGACTATCACATAATATGTTGTAATTCCTGTAAGTGTTTCAAATTAAATAAATTTTTATTTTCAGTTGTTCATTGTTCAAACTTATTTGAAACCTACAGTATATGTAGTTGCTATGATTCAAATATCCAAAAGTGTGCCTTTTACTTCAGTCCTTATAGACTCCTCCCTAATACAGACACTTTATTGTGCCACTCCAATGTTCATTCAAAGTGATCCAACTGACATCTGAGCTGGTGATAATATACAGCAAAGTATTGGAACTAGGAGTATATCAGATAAGTTGTTCATTCAGTCAAGACCTTGAGGTTGTGCTGATCATCATATCAAACTCCATTACATATTGTGCCTTAAAAACATATATACAAATTTTAAAAGTTGTTGCAGCACACTGGGCAATTCCATTTAATATAGACACACACACCCTATTGAGGGGTCTCTTCATAATACCTTAAACATTTTGGAACCCCATTGGATGCAATTTTGGAACCCCCCATGGATATCTTTCTACCCCTTCAGGATATTGTTCCTGCCGCTTTGGATATCACTAAAACACCTACCACTAGAAAAATTTAAGGTAAAAAACCCCTCTCCCCCATAGGATATCCAGACCTCAATAGGGGGGACTATTAAATGGAATGGCCCATTTGACTTGGTGAGTGGTGACTACCACCAAAGCAAAATGGAAGCATGCTGCCCTGCTTTACATAGAAAACAGAATAAATTTTGAAGCATTTCTACTGTTACTTGTTATGATAATCAGAATTGATTATCTGTATGACCGTATGTTAGTGATGTGATCTCACTGTTCATTATAAGGCTGAAATAGATTGAAACTTGTGTGAAAATAAATCCAGTATATATGTACAGTACATACCTTGATATACAGTACAATCAATATCATTTCATATTCCAGGCAACACTATCAGTGTTTATTCAGTCGCATTTGAAGCCGAATAGCATGTGATATATACGAGGGTTGCCAAAGCGAATAAAACAATTTCACAAATATGAGCGCCATACTCCGACAAATTGATACAATATGATGATGAATGATGTTTGTGATGTTACTCTGAGTGTATATCCAAACCGGGCGAGCTTGAAAAATATGCCCGGCCACGGTGGGAATCGAACCTACGACCTTTGGAATACTAGCCCAATGCTCTGCCAACTGAGCTACGTGGTCAGGTCGGTTCGAGTAAGTGATATTTCGGAACAGAATCTAGTTGCTTCAATACCAATGTAATGTGATGTTACTCTGTGTTGGTGTTGTGTACTACTTTCTAGATTCTGTTCCGAAATATCACTTACTCAAACCGACCTGACCACGTAGCTCAGTTGGCAGAGCATTGGGCTAGTATTCCAAAGGTCGTAGGTTCGATTCCCGCCGTGGCCGGGCATATTTTTCAAGCTCGCCCGGTTTGGATATACACTCAGAGTAACATCACAAACATCATATTCACCTGAGTACACAACACCAATGAGAACATTACAGGTTCGACCACTGCAGTCCATTTATCATAGAGATGTTCCATACAAAAATGGCTTTTGTTCAGTTCTTTCAGTTCATCAATATTTAGTTAGAAAATTGTTTACAATGGTTTTCATTCTTTGATTCTCTCTAAAAATAATGAAGGCAATGAGTGAATAAGTTGGTTGTTGCATGTGATGTAACTGTTTTTAGCTTAGGTATTATTTCTTAAAACACCACTCTTCATATGTATGTTAAATAAACTTATATACACCACAACAGGGGAAGTACTGTATTTGATATCAAAACCTTTTTAGCAACTGATTATATCAAGTATTATGCCTGCTTAGTGCTTGTATTACAGACTTAGCTAGCCAATTTATGTTTAGAATAATTATGACATTATTTTCCTAACTGTGTTTATCATAACCCACCCTATATTTCCCTGTGGGAGGAAACCTGTGTTGGGAACTGACCAAACAGATAAGATATATCGTATAACACTTTAGGGAGGGATAGTTAATTAGGGAGATTAGTCATAGTAGGTATCAGTGAGTGTCATCGTGACAGTGAGAGAGAACGGATGTGAGACAGCTGCGACGAGCATACAATGTGATTTTGGGTATTCTTATATTTTCTATTAAAACTTATATATAAATGTGATTTGTCGAGGACTACTGTTTTGGAGGCAAACATTCTCGACACGTGGCACCTCCTAAAGGGATAGCTGAAACGCCAGTTAACTTATCTTAAGTACGAATCAATGACAAAACGTGACATGGAGAAGCTCGAGACGAAGCTGAAACAGTTGAACCTAGGAGTCCTTCGAACGAAGAATATCTTGGACTCAGGTAAGAGAGAATCAATTAAGCAGCATCTCGATGCGCTACGTGAGACTGTTTGGGAATCAAACGAACTTAAACGAGCTGCTGAAGCGGCAAAAATTGAACTAGGCGAAAGCGTCGAGAAAATTAATGATTGGAACAATGAGATTGACGCTAAGATTGAACTGGCGGACGTTGAAATTGATCAGTTAGAGAGTTGGCTTGCGGAAAAGGAACGTTCCGAGCATCTCGTAGCGCAAGAGAAGCAGTTTAATGTTGAGTTAAAACTGCATGAAAAACGCATGAAAATGAAGGCTGAACTTGAACTAAGTAAGACCGCAACGGAAGTTCAGGAATGCGCTGGATTTAAGACAGCTAAATTACCCAAGTTAGAAATATCAAAGTTCGAGGGGTTCGATTATGGATTGGCCTAGGTTCTGGGGGCAGTTTGATGAAGCAATAGGAAAAAGTTCAATCGCACCTATCAGTAAATTTACCTACTTGCGCGAGCTGCTTGGGCCCAAAGTAAAACGCTGTGTTGAAGCCCTTCCGTTTACACCAGAGGGTTATAATCGAGCCAAGGCAATCCTGAAAGACAAATACGGTAAAGAGTCCGAAATAGTGAACAGTTACGTCAAAGAAATACTAGAATTGCCCCATATTACAACAGCAAATCCACGTAAAATCGCCAAATTTAGCAAAAAACTGTCTTACTGTGTTCAAGCGCTAGAAACCATGAAAAGGCTTGATTCTGTGCAGGGAAATGTATCAATGACCCTCGAGAAATTAGTCGCAATTAGGGGAGACTTAGTTCGCACTGACGCTGAGTGGGAATCCTGGGATTTTGTAAAGTTAACCGAAGCTCTGCGCCATTGGGTGAAACGTAACCCAGTCGTATCTAATGACAGAGAGCGTGAAGAGAACACTCGCGATCATAGAAAATTATTTAATGCGCGGGGCGAAGAAGTTAAGCTAAGGGGCTGTGTGTATTGTGTGGACACTGGTCACAAAGCGACGCAGTGCGAAAAGGTCATCGACACAAGCGAACGCAAGAAAATCCTTGCAAGAAGGGGTTTGTGTTTTAATTGCGTGACGAGAACACATCGTGCGACAGAATGTTCAAGCAAAGCATCCTGTCAACACTGCAATAAACGTCACCACTCCTCAATTTGCGACCAACGTCAACAAAACGCCGAAGGGGAGCACAAACTGATGACAGACGGTGTCAGCGGTGATGGTGTTTTCCTGGTAGTCGTAGTAACAGTAAACGGTGTAAAGTGTCGTGTACTAATTGATTCTGGCGCCGGCGGGTCGTATGCCTCAGCCAAGCTGATTAAGATGATTGATAGTAAACCGATTGAATCCAGAGTACAACGTGTTGACATGCTCCTAGACTCGAAGGCAACCCGGATGGAATTTTACGACACGGAAGTACGCGCCTTAGAAGGAAATTTCAAAATGAATGTGAGAATGGCCAAAGTGGAAACACCAGAACTATTAACTATTAATAACCCGAACTATGAGAAGCTAATTTGTGATTATAACCACCTTGGGAACGTTGTCATTGATGATTGTGATACGAAAGATAGATTGCCCATTCATTTAGTGCTCGGTAACGGCGAGTACGCACAAATCAAAACAAGCACGAAGCCTGTTATCGGCGGCGACCACGAACCGGTGGCGGAGAAAACGAAGTTGGGCTGGTTCATCATGAGTCCCGGAATCGATTTCGACCACAGTACGATGTTATTAACCCAAACTGCGCACTCGGACTTCGAAAGCCTGTGTAGATTAGACATACTCGGCCTGGCAGATA